TCTATCTATCTATCTATCTATCTATCTATCTATCTATCTATGTGCAGAGAATCCCAGACAGGAGAAATCTGACCTCTACAGAGGAACCTACAGATGATTAATGGCTGGAAATGGAAGGTGGATCCCATAAATAAGCCCGATGAAGCGGGTGGTGTGATGTGGACTCGTAAAAGCGTAATGTGGGGCGGTTTCTGGCACAGTAGAGGAGCTCTGCTGGCAGGTGGAGGCTCCAGCTGACCATACGTACACATGGTCTCCACAGGTCAACCTCCAACCCCCAGTGGAGGGAACCAGACCTGTTTCCATCCATCCAGGCCAAAAATGCTCTATTTTTTAGCGGTTTTGTTCATTTTAGGAACAGACACTGAGCATTAATGAACACACACAGAGGAAAAGGGATAAACACCATTGAAGGCCAAAATGGTGTTAAATGATAAATAAAATCTGATTTATTAAGGATTGTGGCCTGATGATCTTAAGTTACCGAATGGCTGAAAAAAAGTGAACAAACTCACTGTTCTGGCTTTAATCCAGTTCTAGAAGAGATAGAATAAAAACCTAAATGTGTTCTTTATCCTTCCAATAGAGAAACACTTTACTCAGACTATTTTCTCACCTTTTTCCATCTTTTTAGCCATGAGAACCCTCTCTTTACCTCCTGACCCCCAGATTCATGCATCCCTCTGATGTCCCGACTGACTAAAGGACAAGAGAGTTTGTTTTTTTACGTTTTTGACAACAAACTGATTCTACTTTTCTGTAGAGATGCATCCTGAATGCTCAGTCGTCGTTCTGAAGGGTGTTCAAGTCTAAAAATTATATTCTGGATGGATGGATGGATGGAGAGAAGATGGATGGACAGATGGAGAGAAGATGGATGGATGGGTGGATAAATGGATGGATGGATGGATGGATGGGTGGATAAATGGATGATGGATGGATGATGGATGGATGGATGGATAATAGATGGATGAATGGATGGATGGAAGCAGAAATCCTTTCTTTAGGTGTCCTCCACCTCCTCCTCTCATTGTGCTTCTTCTCCTGTGGACCTCCACCCACATTACCCAGCATGCTCTCTGCTTTCAGCCTTATCTGATAGCCATCCGGACCCTCTCTTAGACTTTGTGGATGTTTTGCCTGGCTGTATTTCTCCAGGATGCATTCGGGGTCCCCTGGGACCTCCTACTGTTGGTGGTAATGACCCATACCCCGCACAGGGACCCATACCGACCACATATCTGCATTCACTCCAAGACTTCCGAAGTCTTCCCATCGGCCCTGTTTCCCTTTCTCTGTCCTCTCCTTTGGAGGTTATGTAAGCAGAGTCACCTCCTCTGCCAGTCTCCACCAGCCTCCCCCTCCCTCTTCTCCTCTTCTCTCTTAGATTAGTGCAGCAGAGTGGGGATTTGGGAGGCTACATTTCGTTAAGGCGACCCATTGACAGCCCATCACGCTCATCAGCGGCCGTAATGTAAAAACGTGTCATCCGCACTTCTATTTTAAGACCAGAAAAATATTTATCTGAGCAGGAGAGAGCGGGAAATGGAGGCAGAGCTGCTTCACTTTGAAAAGGCAGCTTCAAACCTCAGGAGCGGAGGATAAAAGCCGCCGTTAGAACAAACCTACGGAGCGAACGCTGGAATTAGGAGGACAGAAAAGGCTTCAGACACCAGTTAATACGCAGAAACAGGCATCTGAAACATCCCTATAACAGGTTTGAAGCACAAAAGCTTCAAAGGTTCATTGTTTTTTCCTCAATGTCCAAGCAAAACCGAATAAATCATGTTGATTCAAATCCAATTTATCCCAGTTGGGTCATTAGTGGTTAAAGGGACCAATCACAGACCCCGTTACTGACCCCATAATCCATCCATCCATCAGTTAATCAATCCACCCAATAACTCATGTTTACATCCAGACAGCCATTAATCCCCAGATCCATCCATTATCCATCCAGCTCCCCATCCATTCATCCCTCCATCCATCATCCATCATCCATGTTCTGGTCAGATTCCTGTTTTTTAATCCATCTTTTGTATTCAGTTTCCATGACACAGAACTGGAGAATGTCAATTAAACAGTTTTTTTTTTTACATCTAGTTATCGGCAGTTTTTTATAGTAACAAAATAAAATTACTTCACTACTGTACCTAAGTATAGTTTTGAGTACTTTATACTTTCCTCAAGTATAACATTTTTGATAACTTTTACTTTTACTTCACAAGTAACATATCAGTCAGTGACTTTGACTTTTACCAAAGTCATATTTTGAAGAGGTACATTTACTTTTACTTAACTCTGAGATTTTAGTATTTAAGATAAAGTTTTCCGGATGTTCCCAAAGTTGTGTCCAGCTGTTAGGACAGCGTGACTAAACGGTTGACACCAAACAAAGCTCTGTAAAGCGGCCTCTAAATGATGGATGACACCGAGCCAGAGCCAAAACTCTTGAGTTACAACGTGTAAAGCGGAAAGCGCGACAGCTGATTTAGTCACCTGAAACTCCGCGGGTGTCGGCAGGAAAACAAACCCACGAGCCAATTACCAGAGGAATGACAGCACATGGAAACAGGCAGAGGACCAACCACAGGTCAGCACAGGGTCAGTTAGACCAGATACAGCAGAACCTCCTCACAGGAGTCTAACTGGTTCCAGGACCCACTTATTATGGTAAAATATTGGTGTGTTGGTTTAAATCTTTCACCAGAGTACACTGTAATTCCTAGAATTGGTTCCTAAAACCTACGATAACTCCTTAATAAATACAGCAGATAATTACACATAGCAAGAAAACAAATGACTTCTAGAAGAGAGATGGAAAAAGGAATAAATGATAAAGAAATAATCAATAAAAAGGGTTTTTATTGGCAGGTAGAGACTGAGATACAGGACCAACCCTAACTTACTCTGACTTTACTACAGGAACTTTACACTAACTTAGATTATTTGTATTTATTTAAGTTTTATATTTTATATATTTGAATTTTTCTGATTTTTTAAGATCTAAGGTAAATTAACTTAAAAACTACCTAACTTACCTTATTTATTTGTATTTTATTTGTGTATTTATTTATATTTTTCTGATTTTTTTAATCTAACTTATATTGCATTAACCTAAAACTAACTTAGCTTATTCATTTTTATATTATCTTTGCATATTTTTTTACTTTTCAGATTTATTTCATCTAACTTACATTACATTACCTTAAAACTGACTTGGCTTATTTATTTTTATTTAATTTAGATATTTTACATATTTTTTTCCATGTTGGAGATTTCCATTGGCTGTCAAGTCGAATATTTGTTCAAATTTTACTTCGTAGGTTGGAAAACTGGTCTGTTTAGCATCGTAATAGAGGCTCTGCTGTACTCAAATACTGCGGCTACCAGTGTGCTCACCCAGGACTGAAATAACTATGATCCATTTCTTTGAGAAGCAAACGACCAGCAGCAGGTGTCCAGTCGGGTTGGACGACTTCCAGGGTGTAAGTTTAGTCTCTGTTTGGCCTCAGAAGAACTCCACACATTCAGGAGTCCTCAGCATCGGTTTTCACTGCCCTGGATGCCTTTCCGACCTGTTTTTCCTTTACTATCTCTACTATTTCCGACAGTAAACACCAACAAAAACAGGCTTTTTAAAAGCCACCGGGTCCTCAGAGGACAGTCGGAGCTGACAGGATGGGGACAAAATGTCAAAGGCCAATATCTGGGGACAGTCAATCCCTCGTTTGGTCACAGGACCTGGAGCTAAAGGCTCCGGGAAGCAAAAGGAGAGAGAATGATGAGGAAATGGAGGTGTTTGACCACAGAGGAGAGGGGGGCTGATTAGTGACAGCTGTGGGTAACAAACACAGAAGCTGACGGGCGAGGAACCAAAACCAGGACCGGAAAACAACCCAAGAATCACAGGAGGAGCTGAGAAGACAGGTCAAAGGTCAAATGAAGCCCAAAAGATACAACCGATCATAAACTAGAAGGAAAACTTCAACTGGAAAACATGAAAGCAACGATAACCCAGAAATCATGACTTGTGTAGCTTCTCATTTAGCACAAATCAAAGTCCTTAATCACCTGACCCCACCATGAGCATTGGTAATGATTCAATTCAATTAAACTTGGAATGGATGGATGGATGGGTGGATGGATGGATGGATGGATGGATGGATGAATGGATGGATGGATGGATGGATGGATGGATGGATGGATGGATGGATGGATGGATGGATGGATGGATGGATGGATGGTTGGATGGATGGATGGATGGATGGATGGATGGATGGATGGATGGATGGATGGATGGATGGATGGATGGATGGATGGATGGAGGGATGGACAGATGGATGGATGGATGGATGAATGGATGGATGGAAGCAGAAATCCTGTCTTTAGGTGTCCTCCTCCTCCTCCTTTACTTCCCTCCATTGTGCTTCTTCTCCTGTGGACATCCACCCACATTACCCAGCATGCTCTCTGCCCCAGGCCTTCTCTGTTTCCGTCCTCTCCAGCTCCCATCAGGATCTGAAGCCTTGGCTGGAAGTCCAATACCCCTGACACACATCCTAGAAGCTGTAGGGGGAAGATGCCATGATGTTAGCTCCACAGGAACTACAGGAACTCTGACTGGGACTCCATTTTGTTAGAATTTGTCTATAATTACTCCCTTTAGCATTATATGCTACAACAGGATTGTTGTGGCCATTTAAGTAGACTTTTTGTAATTCACATGTTCTGTTTAATCTTAAGTAGTCAAAGTTTATTTTAGTTTGTACAGAACCATATTGAAATGAATTATTTATGGTTTATTTGGTCATTTTTTAAGCTCCTCCCACTAATTTTGGAGAGTAAGAACAGCCGGGGATGTGTGGATGTGGGTGACTGTTTTGTTTTATTTTTCAACCACCTTTTTTACTTTTCATCAAAGTGACAATGAATTTTGTTTTTTATTTCCCTATCATTTTACAAGAAATAAAAAGAAAGTTCATAAAGAACACAGATCTGTTTCCACCGACGGCCTTTTTTTGTTGATTGAGTTATTTCTTGATTTACCTCATCAGCTAACATTCCTTCATTCTTTTCCACTTTCCCTGGTCCCTTTATTATTTCTTCTGACTCCTCTTCTGTCTTTGTTTCCCTCTTTTTAGACTTGTTTCTCTTTGCTCGTGTCTTTAACTTTTGCTCCTCTGCTTCCTCCTTTTGAAAATGGGGATTCTCTCTCTGCTACTTTTAATCTTTACTTTTGGACAGTTTTACCCTCTTTCTCATCCTCACCTCTTGGGTTTTAACCCTATAATGCCAAATGTATCATATTTGATCCATACGGTTTCTGAAATGTTTTGACTCCTTTTGCATAATTTAATGGTAAAAACTTTGTTCAAAATCCTAGTGTACACAATCAGATACACCTGATAACAGGGGGCAGAAGACTACACAAAAAATAATCTTGACTTATCGCATAGTAATAAATTATTAATATCAAAAATGTATTTCTGTTTTTTCTTTTTGCATATTTTGTTAAAAGGCCAAATAAGGAATTCAAACAAAAAAAAAGTAATTTTCTGTTTTGTTTTATTCTTGGATCAGGCTTTAAAGGGATATATATATAGATATATCAACTATTATTTGCCCAACACATTTTGGCTTTTGGCTTTCATGAGAGTCATTATAAAACATCCAAATGCTAACTGCTTTCCCTTCCTCTCCCTTTCTCCTAACACCTGTCCGGTGGCTCTATTTTGTTGTTATCAGAGCTTTTTTTCTGGTGGTGACCCGTCCTGTCCTGATCCTTTCGGACTCCGAACTGCTTCGCATGCCGCCCTCTTTTAGCCCGACACACGCAGCTATCTCTGTTTTCCTCCGGCTCTTTGTTTGCTCCCGTTTCTTGGCAGGCGTCCCTCTGTTTACTCCCGGCTCCGACTCAGGCTTTAAATCGCTTCCCCAGAGCTCGGCGGCAAACAACAAACAGCACGGCGGTTTTTCTTCTTTAAGAGTTTATTGAAACTGCTGTTATATGATGAAATCAGATGGACAGGAACTGTAGCTAACCTTGCATAGGTTACAGACTATGCCTCACCTCTGCCTCCCGCAGTTAAGAAAAACCAGAAAACAACCAGAAAAAAAATGACATACCGAAATGTTGACGACTGGTGGGTTCAGGGAGGACCTCAGCAGCCCAGAGAGGGGAAAAGATGTACATTTATGTCCTTATCTTTTAGTTTTAGGTGAGCACTGGGACCTCCAGACTTTGGCTTCTGACTGAGAGGAAACAGAAAGACTAAAGCTAATGCATCCCCAGTGGAGCGGCAGGACCCAGACCCTGATTCTTCTCAAACATTCTCACATTCCCAACATCGTCCCTTTAGTCATGGCTTTTTGAAACCTCAAACACTCGTATGAAATATTAACAAAAAGCAGAGTTTCTCAACCGTCTCCACAGAAGCTCAACACATGGTCAAAAACACTGGGCATCGTGGTGAATAACGCAATGAAATGTCACTTATAGGCTGATCAGTACTGACAGTTGTCGTAAAAATCTGGCAGCGTTTGATATTTGTGGTCGGGATACAATTATTTTGTCATAGTGAGAGGATTGAAACCACGTGACTCATCTTCAAGCTGAAAGAAACTCTGAGATATTAACATGTAACAGGTACGTTTTTGCCCCCCTCCAGCCCTCTGGATCAGGGCTGGTTTCAGGAGTCTGTAGATGGTCTTTCAGATGTCCGGAGGGCCCTCCAGATGCCCCGAACAGGCACCGAATCCCTGAAAAATGAAAGGCCAAGCAGAGGCGAGGGATCGGGAACCTTTACAGTGAATCAAAAGTAGCTGTTACATCTTCTGTCCTGGAGGGGGGCTCCAACGAGGGTCATCTCAAACCCCAACCGGCTAGAAATCGCTTCAGTTTGCATCGAAAAAACAGAAACTGTCCCATGATCAGATCTTTTTTTTTAGATGTTTCCTATTCAAATAGCTTATTAGAGATAATCATCTGTAAAAAAAAAAAAAATCCATTGATTATTTTGGCAGTTAGAAGCTAGAACTCTGTTTAGTGGAGATAAATTGGACTCTTATTCCGTCCACAGTCGTCTGCTGAGCTGCTCTGATGAGAGGAAGCTAATAAAAACGCGGTTTGGTCCCTCTGTGGTGTCTGCTGCAAACTTTGGCCTGAACACTACAAATATGAACAAAGAGAATTTAAAAGCACACGAAGACTTCCCACTAAACGGATGTGTGAATCACTAATTATAGATCACATGAAAATAGACTCGTTTTTTCATTCTACCTTAAAAAACCAAGTGGAATTTGTCATTTTGCTCCCTCTGACCGACTGCATGTTCAAAACGTAGCACCTTCTTAGCTCTAATTTGTTTTTTCCAGACTAATTAAAGGGATCGTTTGGGAAACTGGGCTTAGACCAACAGGTTGATGACACTCAGCAGTTTGAAAAGGACAAAAGAGTCTTATGGAAGCTCACAAGGAAAACGAAAAGTGAAACAGAAAGTGAAAGTAAAAGTGAGAGTTTTTTTTTCTGTGCCATCGTGTTAGAAAAATCAAACGATAATCTTCCACAAAAACAAGTTGTGACTTTGGTCCCTGTGAGAAAAATGTTTGGCTCTTGTTTGCATAAAAAGATTCAGCAAACAAACAATTTGAAATATTTCCCCAACAAAAGCATTTCCTGTAATAACAATCACAAAAAAGAACCGCCTGTCTCAGCAGAAAATGAAACACCAACTCATGAAATCATGTTTTCTCTCCCTTTTCCTTCACTTATTATCATGCAAACACGTGTTCAGAGCTGAGAACCTCATGAAAAGTGCAGGATAAATGTGCTTTGTCAGGAAAAAAACTATCATTTGTGCTTTTAGCACAACTGTCCACACAAATGAGCTTTGTAGGTACCACCTTTTAACCATTTACCGCTTAAAATAATTAGAAATACATGTAATCTACTTCCTCAGAGACATTTTTTGTCAATAATTTCTATTGAATTTAAATGCAAAGCTAACGAGATGACAGAGTGTTCATTGGAGGTTATTTTCAGCAGAACTAAAAACAGGTCAAAGTTAATTCATTTTCTGTAGTTCCATAAATAGATGTATCTATGCAAAATGTAAAATATTAGCCTTTACATGTCTCAAATTACAAGATCAAAACTTCTTAAACCAATCACAGATCAGTTTATTTTCTGAGGGTTGATGTCAGAGTCTTCTCTGAATTTCTAAATAACAACCATCTTTTCTGTCTGCTGCTGGTTTAAATCTGATGGGAAAACCAAATAAAAATAAAATAAATAAAAAAATATAATTTAAATATGTCAAATAAACAAATCAATAATATTTAGAAATAGATACATAAATAAATAAAAATGAAGAAATCAAATAAATAAATAATTTTTACAAATTAAATAAAAAATTTAATAAAAAATTAAATAAATAAATAAATAAATACATAAATAAATATATAAATAAATAAATACATAAGTAAATAAATAAATAAATAAATAAATAAATAAATAAATAAATA